TTTGAGGCTGCAATAGGGGACACCAAGTGACACGTCCAGGCTGCTGTTGACAACCCTCCAGCCACCCACCTGCAGCCACCATCTTCTCCTTGGAAGCTCCCTAGAGCAGCGGTTCTCAACCTGTGGGTTGCGACCCCACAGGAACTATATTGAAGGGTCGCAGCATTAGGAAGGTTGAGAACCACTGCCCTACAGAAATGGGAGGTTTTTGTTTGTTTGTTTGTTTGTTTGGATACAGAATCTCACTATGTCACCCTCTGTAGAGTGCTATGGTGTCGCAGCTCACAGCAACCTCAAACTCTTGGGCTTAAGCTGTTCTCTTGCCTTAGCCTCCCACGTAGTTGGGACTATAGGCACCTGCACCATGCTCAGCTATTTTTTTGTTGTTGTTGCCGTTGTTTAGCTGGCCCTGGGTGGGTTCAAACCTGCCACCTTCAGTGTATGTGGCTGGCGCCGTAACCGCTGTGCTACAGGCACCAAGCCAGGAGGTTTTCTTGATTGAGGGGTAATTCCCCTATCTCTAAGGGCTCACCACATTGCACCATGCTTTCTCCCTTATAATCTATAAAATTCAGAGAAGGAGCAGAATAGTATGGGGAAAAGGAATTAGGCAAGAGGGTCTCTTTTCCCCACAAGTAGATCTAGCAAATTTCTTTGGAGGAGGGAAGGGCTCTGCCTGAGATGCTACCAGGGTTTGTACTGGAGACTGTTCATAGCAGACCAAGAAGGTCCCCCAGTGGGTCCAAACTACACAACCATAGACTTAAAATGTTGGCAAGTCACAGGACCAAGTGAGATCATGTAAAAAGGGAAGGGCCTTTTGGAAATTCACTTTGTATTTCCCATCCTTCACTGCAGGTACCTGACATCATCTAATATGATTGAGAACCAAGTGAGAATGATTCGCTGCTAATCCTGTCCTTTTTTCCAGGTGGACAAATAAAGGATTACATGGAATTATACTCATTACAGTGAAGCATGATATGGTTGCCTGTGGGGAACAAGAAGGAAGGTCGTAGTGGTGAGGCAATGGTGGGGGGGGGTGCTTGCCTACTTAGACAACTATCCCTGACCCCTGGCCCAGGAATGAAGGGTAAAGTCACCCAGTTGGTTCTTGGCCTGCCACAGTGGTATTCTTGGTTCTGGTGGCAGCAGGCATGCTGCAGAAGGTGCCCATTCTCTTGACACTCCAGAGGCATGGTGAAAGAGTCCATTTCCCTCCAAGAAGCACTGTAAGGCTGGGAAGATGGTGTTCCACAGGGCTCTGGCCTGGCAGGGGCCTCCTTCCACAGTGGCAGGGCAGAGGTGCGAGTAGCACACTACATGTCTCTAGAGGACAGAGTCTCGCGCTTCAGTGAACAGACTGAGTACTAGTGCTAGTCTCAGTTCAGGTGACCTCTGGACCTGCCTTTGTCATGAAACAGGTTTACATTTACCTCTGGCTGGTGCACAGAGTGAGTCAAGGCAGGTGGTGTGGAAACTGTAAAGCACTGTGCTCCTGGTGACAGTGCAGCCAAATCACCTGCACAGATGATTACTCCTGTTATGATCATGGACACATCTAGCCTCTGAGGGAAAAGTAAGGATAATAACCAATCACATAGGGTTGATACACATGAGCCAGCAAACAGTGTATTCACTGTAGAAGGGGCCATGAAGCTGCTGAGATGGGGTTAGGTAGAATCTAGGAAAACTCTCACTCAAAAGCAACAGGCAATTTTCTCCCATGTGGAGAATTCATCTTGGTTTTGGAAACGTTCCCAACTTGGACTGTCAATAATGCAATTGTACAAAGCAAAGCTGCCTTCTCCCCTTTGGGCATCAGGGGTGCTGCCAGCCATGTACTTGTGGGGGAGGCGAGCTGGCCCCATCCACATGGAGATAGAAGGCAGAAGCTGTGGTTCACAGCTTGTGAATATTTTTCACACTATTTTGACTGCAACCCACAGGAAGAAATATATATTCCACACCATAAGGACTTATACAGGCACACTCATATTCGAAACAAGTTTCAGGAAATAATATCTACCCTTATTTTCTTAAGCACACTATATGTGATATATTCTACTTTTTTTTTTTTTTTAAATAAATACATGCTTGTTGTAACCCAGTAAATGAATGTCATGATTCTAAGAAGCTGTGTGGTAAGAGTCCTCCACAAGGGGGGACCTGGTCCCAGCCCTGAGAATAGCCCTGTCCTCTCTGGATGGCTCTAAGCCTCAGGACTGCACTATCAGAAGTTGCAGCTGTGCTGTGTCTACGGGGTTTGAGGTGGGGCTCCCTGCACTGGAGACAATCAGGGCAGAGCCCCTTCACTAAAGCTAGAGTGGCAGCTGTGACAGGCCACAGAGGGCAGGTGCCTGGCATCTCAGCCTCTCCAGCAACACACAGTAGGCTCTCAGGAAAGATTTGACAAATCAAGAATGGGAGAGAGCCCTGGACTGGGCCAGCTGTAGGCTCTGCTTTGTGACTGAGGGCCTCATTTATTCCGCTTGCACGATGAAGACCCCGGTCTCTGGGGGATCCCTCCACAGAAAAGACAGCCCCAGCCACAAAACTTAGAGCTCCCTTTGGGGAGTGGAGACACTCACCTCTGGAGAGTCTGGCCTCTTCTCCAGGCCAGATGCAATTCAGGGGGCTCCTGCAAGGTTCTGGAAGCCGACCTTCCCTCTGTACTTCGCCCTGAAGCCGTGCTCTCAAGGTGATAAATAACTTCATAAACATGCTGTCACCTGATGGAGGCTGCTCTGTGGAGTGTTGGAGAGCCATGGTAGGGGAGAGTGAGGATAACTTAAGCTTTTAAAATCTCCAATCATGGCTGAAAGCCTATAGCTCAGCGGCTAGGGTGCCAGCCACACACACTGGGGCTGGCAGGTTTGAACCCGGCCCGGGCCTGCCAAACAATAATGACAACAACAAAAATAAATAAATAAATACAATCTCCAATCATGACTGGAACAGGGTGACAGCTCCAAATACCCATCTGCCCCTTGTTTAGAAAATCATCAAGGCTGGTTTGTCCATTCAGTCAACGAATAAGAATAGAGCTATTAAGCGGCGCACATAGTGCTGGACATGGGCTACACAGATGTCCTAAAGCAAGGTCCCTTCCCTCCTGGAGCTTTTGGTCTTAGTGAGGGACAGTTAATAAGTCAATGAGATCATACCAGTATTGACAAGTGCGCTATGGGAATAAGATGGGGTAACAGGATAGAAAGTGAGTGGGGCTGAGGGCTGCTTTTGGTGGGTGATTATAAGAACAGGCCTCTTTGAGGAGATGGCATTTGAGTTGGAATTGATGAAAAGGTACAAAGATCCATGCTTCCCAAATGACAGTCTGAGAGCAAAATAGATTCCCAGCCCTAGTCTAATGAATGAAAATTACAGGGCCAGGCCTCAGGGATTTGCCTCTTTTCTTCCAAATGATAGCCATGCATGGTGAAACTGGAGACCTTCTCTGGAACTTTGAGTTTTAGAGAGGATCACACTTGGTGAACTTTAGGGTCCCTTCCAAATCCCAGGGCCTTTGTTCAGGGAAGGGAGCTTCTCTTTTGCTGTGAAGGCCAGGGGTAGGGAGAGCAGCAGGACTACTTGAGGTCAGATTTTGGGAGTGCACACAGCAACTCACACACACATGGAACTCACCTAGGCCTCTGCCTCCCTATGGCTGACGTGAATTCTGAAGCTGACCTCCTCCAGGAGGCCTTTCCTCATCTCTGCTCCCACACTCTCTCTCTTTTCAATTTCATATTTTGTGAGGATCACTGTTAGAGCAGCCTGTATTAGGTCTATTTTTTGCTTTGAGAACGGCTCCAAACAGTTGGTGTAGGCACTCTTCCCAGGCATTTGTTATGATCCTAGGCCTTGGTTGCTTGTGTCTCCCCACCCCCACTCCATCCACCCTGGGTGTGGGACAGAGTTCTTCATGCTGTGGGCATTGGAGACCTGCTTGGAAACTGACTCCCTGGGAGTGTGGGGTTTTAAACCTGCAGCAGGAACAACCACTTACTCACAGCAGATACCAGCAACCATGGTCAGACAAATTGTTTCCTCAAGCCTGTGGGGGTGGGGCAGGGCTCTCTTAGGGAGCAAGAAGGCATCTGCCTCCCAGGACATCCTAGCACCAGATAAATCAAGAAACCTATTGTGCTTACCTATGAATGTTCTTTATTCCCTCTTCTTCCTGTGCTATGGTTCCCCGCTTCCCAGGGTTCCATTTCCCCATTTATTAAATAGGGGGAATCTGGCCAGTGGGGTGGCTCAGGCCTGTAATCTCATTGCCAGCACTTCAGGAGGCTGAGGCTGGAGGATCTCTCCAGGCTAGCCTGGGCAACATAGCAAGACCTCTGTCTCTTAAAAAGGTTTAAAAAATTAGCTGGGTGTGGTGCTGTGCACCTATAGAGCCCAGCTCTCCAGAGGCTAGGACAGGAGGATCCCTTAAGCCTAGGAGTTGGGAGGTTGCAGTGAGCTATGATTATGCCACTGCATTCCAACCTGGGTGACAGAACTAGACCTTGTCTTTAAAAAAGAAAAAAAAAAAAGCCAATTAGGAAGAACCCTTCGAGATTTCTCTGAGAGGAGAAAAAGAGATTTTTGCCTTAAAAGGAGCCCTTTCCCCTTTCCTCTTTGATTTCCTCCTCTCGCTGCTTCCCAGCGATCGTTTCTCCAGCTGGGCAGCCACACGCTGCGGTCCTGAGGACTCCGGGAGTGTCTCCCAGGCCAGTGGCTGGAGAGGACGGTCCAGTGGGGTCACTGTGTCAGGGGAAGAGGAGGAGGAAGAAGGGGTGGCGGCAAGGTCGCACGCAGTCCAAGGCTTCATGCTCGTCCCAGCCAGCTCTCAGCGGACGCTTTATTAGCCGCGCCCAGCACCGGCGGGCAAGCCACGCCGCGCGCCCCGCAGCCCTCCGCGCCAGCTCCGCGGTCCATGCCCGTTGGGGCCGTGCACGCCTCGGGTGCTGCAGTGCAGACGCTGGGGCCCCCGCCAGCTGCCCGGCGAGTGAGAGGCAGCGGCCCCCCATGCGGCGCACGTGGGGCCCGGCGGTCGCCAGGCGGGGGTGAGCCGGCACCATGGGGCAAGTGGGCTGGAAGGGGCTCTGCCTGTCGCTGTTTGACTACAAAACAGAGAAGTACGTCGTCGCCAAGAACAAGAAGGTGGGCCTACTCTACAGACTGGTGCAGCTCATCATCCTGGCGTACCTGGTCATGTGAGTTCTCCGGGCACTTAGGGGGAGGTGGCGGAGGGGCGGGTGCCATCCCCTATGTCCTCCTGGGTCCTGGAATTTGCACGTGGTTTTCCCTGTGGTTGGGGGTCTGTGATGTTATTCGGGGAGGGGGTTTTTCTCGGGCCCTTGGCGTAAGGGTGGGGGGGGGGAAAGAGCTCACCGGCTCTGGCTCCGGAGGGGGTGCGATGTCGGCAGGGGCTCCTGGGTTCCTCCACTTAAGAGGCTTCCCACGGGCAGCTCCTCGCCCCAGGGGCAGAGCCAGCATTAGGGCCACGGGAAGGGGGCAGGAGTGTAGGGGGCGGGTGGCAGCTGTCTGTAGCCCTAGCAGCCTCCCTGGGCCTTAGCCTGGCAGCTGACCCAGGCGCCCAGCAAGTTATTTATAATCACTGGTGTCAGTGCCATACTGGGGGCTGGAGTAACTCATCAGCATGGCATGTCCCTGAACTCCCTTCCTGTCAAGTCATCACCCACTGTCCCTGTGGCCAGCCTCTCTAGTATCCATCTGGGGGTCTTGCCTAGAGGCCTCGACCCCTGCTCCTTGCCCAGCTGTCCCCTTCCTGGTCATCATACTACTTGGCAGGAGTTGGCACCACCAGCCCAGGCAGCGGCTGGTTGAGGTTGCTCAGCCAGGCATGTTCAGAGCCCTCATCCCTAGGGGGTGGTGAGTAGGTGGAGGGAGAAAGTAGTAGCACAGGACAACGGAAACACATCTTCCTTTGCTCTTCTGGAGGCCACAAACTTGGCATCCCTGAGCTGCATGGCTCAGCCTTTCCTCTTCTCCTCTTTCCCTTGGTGAGCGCCCACTCACCCTCCGGATCTAGGTTCTCAAATAACTCCCTCTCCTTTCCTCCCTGGCATTCCCACAGTGTAATTATAAGCTTATTTGGGGGAATCATTTGCTTGATGTCTGCGTCTGACATCCTGCCAGTCTGGGGATGCCGTGAGGGTGGGCCTGGCATCCCTTAACTGCTGAGGAAATAGATGTGAAATGAATGAGTGAATGAAGTTGCTCCTTGAGTATTTGCCCAATTTTTCTGTCAGATTGACTTAAGGGTCACAGGCCTCTCAGAGTTCCTTGGAGGTATGACAGCCTGAGGCTCCAGGGCTCTCAGCTGTGCCCTCAGAGATGAAGGAGGATACATCCTGGTTGGCACCTGCTATGCAGAGAGTCCTTACTAGCACCCTGGGAAGTGCAGGGCATTCTGCTCCACTCACTGCATGCCCTTCCTGCTCTCTTAAGCCTCAGTTTCCCGAACTTTCCCCAGGTGTTAGCCTGGACAATCTCTAACATTAACAATATCCGCAGTATCAACAATAAGTTAATGAGTCGTGTTCATAAAGCTCTTCCTCTGTGCCTCTTCCCAGGCACTTGCTGGGCTGAGCAGTTTACATGTGCCATCTCATTTAAAAAGATGTCTTCTGTGTTTTGACATAATGTTAGACTTCCAGAAAAGTTACAAGAGTAATACAAAAAAGTATTGCATGCCCGTCACCTAGATTCTGCAGATGTTAACATTTGACTGTTCTCTGTGGTCATTTTCCCTTTCTGTGTGTGTACATGTAATTTTTCCTGAACTGTTGAAGAGTAGCTTGCAGACTTGATGCCCTTTCACTCCCAATACTTCAGTGTGTGTTTCTTCTAAACAAGGAATCCTCTCTCTTGTTCTCTCTCTTTTTGGGGCTTAAACAATAAAAACTTATTTCTCACAGTTCATGCCGAGAGTCCGAGGTCAGGGCACCAACGTGGTGAGGTTCTGATAAGGGCTCTCTTCTTGCCTTGCAGGTGGGGAGAGCAGGAATTCTCTTATTTTCTACTAAATACAAGTATGAAAATAGGAAATCAACACTACGGTATAATCTAACCTGTACACCTTTTGTAAATTGTCCCAATAATTACCTTTATAGCAAAAGAAAATCTGAAGGCATGCCTGGCATTCAGTCCTTGTGTCTTCTTCATCTCCCTTAATCTGCATTTGCTCCTGATTCTTTTTTTTTTTTTTTTTTTTGAGTCAGAGTCTCACTATGTCACCCTCGGTGGAGGGCCCTGGCATCACCTCAAACTCTTGGGCTTAAGCGATTCTCTTGCCTCAGCCTCTCAAGTAGCTGGGACTACAGGTGCCCGCCACAACACCTGGCTATTTTTTTGTTGCAGTTGTGATTGTTTTTTAGCTGGCTCAGGCTGGGTTTGAACCCACCAGCCTCAGTGTATATCGCAGATGCTGTAACCACTGTGCTACGAGCGCTGAGCCTGCTCCTGATTCTTTCTTTGTATTTCACGACACTGACGTTTTTTGAATTTTTTCTTTTACCATTTTTTAATTAAGGTAAAATTCACATAGCATGTAATTCACCATTTTAACCATTTAAAATTACATAATTCAGTGCTTTTCAGTATATTCACAATATTGTACAACCACCATCAGTATCTAATTCCAGAATGTTTCCAGCACCCCAGAAAGGAACCTGTATGTTACTCATCAGTCACACTTCTCCCCCACCCCTATTCCCTGGAAACTATAATACTAATCTACTTTCCATGTCTGTGGGCTTGCCTGTTCGAGACATTGCAGATACATGAGTGGTCACTGCAGAAGTTTTGAGGCGGACTGCGTTATGGTCCATTATTTCACTTCCAAGAGACACAGTGGACAGGGTCCCTTCTGAGTCACTCATGCAAGTTTCAACTTGCTTGGCTCATTGGCATTGCTGGGAGGGCTTCCTTTGTTTCCATCTGTGCAGATTTTATGTTTCTTGAGTTTTGTGTATCTCAAAACTTCCATAATGACCCACGTTATCAGACCTTCATTCCTTTCTGTGGCTGAATAATATCCCACTGTTTGGATATACCACATTGTTTTACCTGTGCATCCATTGGTAGACATTTGCATTGTTTCCACTTTTTGGCTATTATGAATAATGATGCTAAGAACATTCATGTATGAGAGAGAGAGAGAATGTTTTCAATTCTGTTGGAAATTCTGCTTTTAGGAGTGGAATTTCTGGGTTATACGGCAACTTTTTCTTTAATGATTTGAGGAACTGCCAAACTCTTTTCCACAGTGGCTATGTCATTGTACATTCCTGTCAGCAACGTATGAGCGTCCTAATTTCTCCATGTCCTTTTCAACACACACTATGTGTAGGTATTTTTTATAGCCACCCTGGTGAGAGTGAGGTGATATCTTATCATAGTTTTGATTTGCCTTTCCCTAATGACTAGTGGAGCTGAGTATCTTGATCATGTGTTTATTGACTGCTTATATAACTTTTTTGGAAAAATGTCCGTTCAAATCCTTTGCCCGATTTTAAATTGGGTTGTTTTTATGTTGTTAAATTGTAAGAGTTTTTTTTTTTATGTAATCTGGATATTAGACCTTTATCAGAGAAATTATTTATAAATATGAGTTGTCTTTTCACTTTCTTGGTAGTATCATTTGATTCACAAAAGTTTTTAATTCTGATGAAGGCCACGTTACTTTTTTTTTTTTCTTTTGTTGCTTGTATTTTTGGTACCAAAGAATATAAGATTTGAACCTTTGTAGAATGCCCCTCAGTTTGGGTTTGTCGAGATCACCTCAGGCATGGTTTCAGGTTACATACTGTTTCATTTAATCATCCCCACAACCCATGGTGAGAGGCAGTTATCTCTATGTTAAATATGGGAAATTGGCTTCCTGGGGTCTTGGCCAGTATGTGGCTGAGCTGGTCTTGGACCAGGCTTGCCCAACATCAGGCCTTGGTTCCTGAGCTCAATGGTCTTAGGCTCTTCGTATCCTGACCTCTAGGGTTGCTTGTCACTTCTGCTGCTTGTAGGTCTGGGTTTCAGGTAGCAGTAGCACTTCTGTGTCCCCTGCCTAGAAGCTGGTGGGATAGGTGGAGCGTTGAGCCTGCCCCATCCCATCTAGCAGTTGCTCTGTCTCCTACCCCACTCTGGGCTGGGGACACTTCTTTGGAGGTAGGAATGTGGCTAATGCTCCTCTGCTGGCCCCTTCTGCAGATGGGTGTTTGTGATAAAGAAGGGTTACCAAGATGTGGACACCTCCCTGCAGAGTGCTGTTGTCACCAAAGTCAAGGGCGTGGCCTTTACTAACAGCTCGGAGCTCGGGGAGCGGCTCTGGGATGTCGCCGACTACGTCATACCATCGCAGGTTGAGACCCTACCTGGCACTGGGGCCCTGGCTGGCAGGGTCTGGTGTTGGGTGGGACATGTGGGAAGCTGCTCGGACACCCAGGGACCTCCATCCATCATCTCCCTTGGCCTAGGACAGCTGTTAGGACTTGCAGATGGCCACTCTGTCCAGATCCTACTTCCCAGCCAAATCCTTGCCCTCTTTGACTGTGTCTTGCATCACCACTCTATTCCTAACAATCTGAGTCTGTTGAGACCAAATGGGGCTCAGAAAAGGTGGGGTCATTGTGAGTCAGGTGGCCTGACATAGAGGACCCCCTTATATGTCGTCCCTGGGAATAGCTCCCCAGCCCGTTCACAGTTGGCTGGGACCAGGGAAACTCCATCACTGCTTCCTTCAGACTCAGCTTGGATCCCAGGACTGAAGTTAGGAGAGTGATCTGTGTAAGGGGGGACAGTTGGGGTTTGTGGGCCTGGAAGAGACCTAACAAAGGATCTGTCTGGGGACCCTGAGGTCGGTAAGCAGATGGGTGGAGTCCACCAATTTTATGGCCCCTTTGTCCTCAACACTTAGACAGGGGCCACACCCCTTGCCAGGCAGCCTGGGAAGGAGGGTCCCCAGCAGGGCAAGTTGCTCAAAGCCATTCTGGTTCCTCAGGGAGAGAATGTCTTCTTCGTGATCACCAACCTGATCGTGACCCCCAACCAGCGGCAGAAGACCTGTGCTGAGGTTCGATTTGGCGTGGGGCAGGGGTAGGGGGGTGGGAGAACCGCCGGCGGCAGTTCAGGTCAGCACCCTCCTGAAGAAGGGCTTTCTGTCCACTCCAGCCGCCCTGGGGGCTGTGTGCACGGAGCACCATTCCCACGCTGTTTGGGGAGAAGCAGGTTCTCAAAGGGTATATGGGCCCAGCCCTGGGAAGAACCCCTCTTTTAATCTCTGTGGGGGAGCTGACTCTGAGCAGGGGGAGACACCCTCACTCAGGTGTCTCTTCTCTCCTGGCAGAGGGAAGACATTCCTGATGGCATGTGCTCCAACGACAGTGACTGCCATCCTGGGGAGACTGTTACAGCTGGACATGGTGAGGGCCTGGAATGGCCGGGGCCGGAGTGGGGGGCAAAAGGGGACTTGGAGCG